AAAATACTACTTAATATATATATATATATATATATATATAAACTTGATGAGTAGTATTTCAAGCCAAAACGAGCCGAACACGAACAAAAACATTTTAGTTCGTGTTCCGCTCGTTAACTTATCGAACAAAAATAACGAGCCGAACACGAGCTTTTTAACGAGTCGAACACGAGTTGTTCGCGAACAAAGAGCCGTTTTGACATCCCTAATTTTTATCATGTTATTTTTAGTTTTTGAGCACCGGAAACATTTTTTATTTACAAATATACCACGTAGCACTCTCTTTCATCCATTTTTTATTCGGGGAATTTACATGCCTAGCACCCAATGCTCATGCATATTTACTTATCTAACACTCGAGCTTTAATTGATACATCTTTTTATGCATAGAAAAATGCATCTAGCGTATAAAAATAAAATTTAGGTGCGAGATAAGTAAATGCATGAGAATTGCGAGCTATGCTTGTAAATTTTCATTTTCATTTTTATGAAATTTTTAATGGTTTGATCTTCGCTCGCTTAAATGCATCTCGATAGTTCAAAAATATCATATGGGTGTTAGATTTTGTTAATAGTGATATTTTTGGGTGTTTTGTATGTAATTATCTTTTTTTTTTTTTTATATATTTTGTTGTTGCAGGATGCTTTGATATGCATGTTAGGGACCTTGCAAATGCAGTCAGAGAACTCCTCAAAGACATCAAGGCAGAGTCTGATATATATTAGGCTGAAGAAGAAAAGAATGAGGAATATTTACATACATACCCTCTTATTTCCTATGCATTTACCAAGACCTAAATGCCTTCTTATATCTTATTTATGCAATACAAATATGTATTTCATTTTTTTTAAATTAAAATAATAAGTGCACATTTTGGTTTCTATGCAAGATTGAATTTACAAGATTGCACACAATCAGCTTTAACCAATATAAAATAAATAAAAAACAATGTGTACGAGACATTACGCACGTATACATACACGTTTAGATGCTCGGAGGAAAAAAAAAGAAAAATTACAACCCCTCGTATTCGCATCATTTAAAGTACATATGCCGAACATACGTAATATTTGCTCGTGTGTGTGCACGAATGAAAGAAAAGATAGCCATCAAAATATATAAAAAGCATAATAAATGGTTTAAAAAAAAAGCTAATTTCTATTTCTACAAACTTCATTACCCACAAAAATAATTACACATCATCATCTCCATCACCAACAAAACATCATCAGTCTTCATTATCATAGTCTTCATCCTCATCCATTTGCATGTTCAAGTTTACCATATTTGCAGGCTCTATCCCAAGACTGCCAACCCCATCAGATAGAGGCCATGCAGAGCAATCTTTTGTTGGACACAAATCTGCGGTGTTTGTGATTGTTGTATCTGTTGGATCCTTGCTCTCCTTCGCCCTTTCCGTGACCTCCGTATCTGCATTCACGCCTTCAGGATCATCGTGCTCCGGCGAGAGCTCGATTTCATCCTCAAATTTCATGTAGGATGACCCTTTCTCGATCGTGCGGTTTAGAGGCGGTCGTCCTCGACCTCGTCCCCGGCCTCTCGCGCGCCCGCGAGGACTCACATTTGCGCTTCGCATTGCCTAACATTAAAAGCATTTTTTCGATGGGATTAAAGGGTGTGTAAGGAATGTATCGATTCAAATCTCAGGGAAAAAAAAGAGGAGTTAGCGAGCAGCTTACCATCTTAGCAGACCTTAAATCTTCTGTCAATACATCACCATCATGTACTACTTTTCTGCAAGATAAATTTCTGATCAGTTACAGATGTTTTAGAGAGAAAAATCAGTGGCTAAAATGGGCCATTTACATGCATACCGCTCAATTCTTATGTATTTACATATCTAGCACCTAAGCTTGGATTTTTTACATTTATACCAGTATACCACTCGATTCTATCATATCACACGGAAAATATCACCATTTTAACTTTTAAAACGTGCAAATAAACCATTTCTGGCACGGGTAGGATGGCGTATATGTAAAAATAGATGCGTACGTAGGGGATATGTAAATGCATAAGAATTGAGAGGTGCACATGTAAATCTTCCTAAAATTTGAAAAAAGTGCTGAGAACTTTACCTTCTCCGCGTTATTCCCTTCTCATCACCAACGGATTCTATGCCACCAAGGTTTGGTACTTTGTTGACGACATCCGTTAAGAAATCAAATGCACTATACATCTTTACACATTGTTTTCTGTGAATTAAGAAAAAGAAAAGGATAAGACAGTCCTTAGTATAAACAAATTCATTTGATCTTCAAGCAAGATTCTTATATATATATATATATATATACATCCGTGTGCGTGCCGTTCGCCTTGACTATTTGGTAGTGCAGCCTAGCTTAAGTTCCCTGTGGTCACGGGTTTGATCCCGCCTCAGTGCATCTGCCTTACAGTCC